TTCTCATTGGGGTGAGGTGGTATCTCATTGTGGTTTTAATTTGCATCTCCCTTATTACGAGTGATGTTGAACATTTTTTCAGATGTTTGTTGGCCATCAACATTTCCTATTTGGAGAAGTGTCTTTTTAGCTCTTCTGCCCATTTTTGATTGGGTTGTTTATTTTTGTTGAGTTTCATCAGTTCTCCTTATATTTTTGTGATCGGTCCTTTATTACTGGTTTTGTGTGAGAAAATGTTTTCCCAATTAGTGGGCTGTCTGTTTTTTTGTAATGTCTCTTATGCTGTACAGAAGCTCTTTAACTTGATGTAGTCCCAACTATTTATCCTTGCCTTCACTATCATTGCATTAGGTGCTCTATCTTTAAAGATGTCGCGGAAGTGTATATTGTGTAGTGTTTGGCCCATCTTTGTTTCCAGGTATTTTATGGTTTCTGTTCTTATGTCTAGGTCTTTAATCCACTTCGAGTTGATTTTTGTGACTGGAGTGAGGTAGTGATCTAGTTTCATTTTTTTGCGTGTAGCTTCCCAGTTTCCCTAGCACCGTGTGCTGAACAAACTTACTTTGTTCCATCGTATTTTCTTCACTCCTTTGTCAAAAATTAGCTGTCCATAAACCTGTGGGTTTATATCTGGGTTTTCTATTTGAATCCACTGGTCTGTATGTCTATTCTTGTTCCAGGACCATGCAGTTTTGATTATTATGGCTTTGTAGTATAGCTTGAAGATTGGGATTGTAATCCCTCCATTCTCTTTCTTCCTAGTCATGAGAAATTTGACTATTTGAGGTCTTTTTTGTTCCATATGAATCTCATCAATATTTTTTCTATTTCTTTGAAGAATGTCATTGAGACTTTTATTGGTATGGCGTTAAATCTGTATATCGCTTTTGGTAGGATGACCATTTGGTATTGTTATTATTCCGATCCATTAGCAGAGGATGTTTTTCCATTTTATGGTGCCTTGTATTTCTTTTAACAGTATTTTGTACTTTCCTTTGTAAAGGTCTTTTACCTCTTTTGTTAGGTTGACTTCCAGGTATTTGATTCTTTTTGTTTTAATTCAAAATGGATTTTTTTTTATTTCTGCTTCTTCTGATTGGTTGTCTATAGGAAAGCCTCTGACTTTTGTGTGTTGACTTTATATCCTGCTACCTTGCTAAACTGGTGGATGGTTTTGATTAGTTGCTCTGTGGAATTTTTAGGGTTTTACATTTAAATTAGCATATCATCTGCAAATAAGGATAATTTTACTTCTTCTTTGCCTATTTGTATTCCTTGTATGCCGTTTCTCTGCCTAGACCTTCCAATGTTATGCTCAAGAGCAGTGGCGATAGTGGACACCCTTGTCTTGTTCCTGACCTCAAAGGAAAGGCCTCAGCATTTCCCCGTTGAGGATAATATTGGCTGTGGGCTTATCATAGATGGCTTTTATCATGTTGCGGTATGTTCCTTCTATTCCAAGGATTTCAAGGGCCTTAAACATAAATGGGTGCTGACCTATGTCAAAAGCCTTTTCCGCATCTATTGAAATGATTATATGGTTTTTATTCTTCTGTCGGTTGATGTGATGGATTACATTATTTGATTTTCTAATGTTGAACCATCCTTGTGCTCCTGGGATAATGCACTGTTGGATTCTGTTGGGTAAGTTTTGTTGAAGATTTTTATATCAGTGTTCATTAGGGAGATTGGTCTGAAGTTTTCTTTTTTTGTGTTTTCTTTGTTAGGTTTTGGTATTAGTGTGATGGCTTCGTAGAATGTTTGTGATAGTTTTCCTACTTTTTTAATTTTTCGGATGGATCTGTGTAGAATAGGCACTAGTTCTTTTCCGAATGTTCAGTAAAATTCATTTGTAAATCCATCTGGACCTGGACTTTTATTTTTGGGGAGGGTTTTGATTACTTCCTTGCTCATAATTGGTCTGTTTAGCTGTTCTGTTTCTTCTTTATCTAGCTTTGGGTGGTTGTAGAGTTATAGGAATGTCTCCATTTTTGTTAAATTGTCCAATTTGTTTGCATGTAGTTGCTCACTGTATTCTCTGGCTATTGTTTTGATTTCTGCTGGATCTGTTGTGATTTCTCCTCTTTTGTATATCATTCTGTTTATTTTATTTATTTATTTTTTTTGTGAGTCTGGCTAGTGGCCTGTCTATCTTGTTTGTTTTTTTCAAAGAACCAACTTTTGGTTTCATTGATTTTTTGGACTGTTTTCCTAACTTCCATTTCTTTTATTTCTGATTTGACTTTTATTATTTCTTGTCTTCTGCTGGCTTTTGGGTTATTTTGTTGTTCTTTTTCCAATTCTTTAAGGTGGGACATTAGCTTGTTTGAATTATTTCTTGTTTCTTTTTGTGAGCTTGTATTGCTATATATTTTCCTCTTATAAGTGCTTTTCATATGTCCCATACATTTTGGGACTTGTGTTGTCATTGTCATCCTTCTCCAAGTATTTTCTAACTTCTTCTTTGATCTCCTCATTGATCCAATGGTCTTCCAGTAGTGTGGATTTTAGTCTCCACGTGGTAAGTGGGTTTCTTGCCTTCTTCATATGGTTTATTTCTAGTTTGATTCCTTCATGGTCAGAGAAAATAGTTGATATGATTTCGATCTTAGTGTATCTATTGATGTCTATCTTGTGACCCAGTATGTGGTCAATCCTAGAGAATGATCCATTTGGCTTTGAGAAAAATGTGTACTCAGATTTTCTGGGGTGCAGTATCCTATAGATATGTGTTAGACCCATGTTGTCCAGGTCCTTGTTCAGAGCTTTAGTGTCTTCACTTATTTCTTGTCTTGTTGATCTGTCCAATGTTGAGAGTGACGTGTTGAAATCTCCTACTCTGTATGTCTTCTCTCTAATATACATTTTCATGGATGACAGTAGTTTCCTAATATATCTTGGTGCTCCTTCATTTGGTGCATATATGTCGATGATTGTTATTTCTTCTTGTTGTATTGTCCCCTTAATCATAATGTAGTGGCCTTCTGTATCTCTTTTAACCTTTTTT